TTTTTTTTATTAAATATATATATATCTATTCAAAATCAGATAAAAATTGTCAAAATGGATCCTTTTATATATATAACAAGGCTGAAGGATATATTGAGGGAGTTTGATTTGTTATTTATAGAGTTGAAAGATCTTATAATTGGGTTTAATGTTTGAATTAAAAAATTAAATAGTCATAGTTAATGATAAATCAGGTTCGTAGTGTTACTATTGTTTTGGGAGAGCTTCTATTATATCGGCATAATTTAACTGCAATAGTTAATTTATATGTTCTTTTATAATTATAATAAAACTTGACTTATAAAATAAATATCGAATAAGCACTATAGTTTATGTAAGTATTTTATGCACGTGATATCACAATAAATTAAGTAGGTGGCGGGCACTTAAGGTACGTAATGGAGGGGGGATCAATTTAATAAATTAACACAATTTATGAAATCGGGTTCGATAAGGTAACAGAATAAAAGGGTAATAATACAATAAAAAGGTTCAAGGATATATTAAGGGAGTTTTATTGGTATTATTTATGTAATTATATTGATTTAAAAAAAATAGACTAAGTTAAAAATATAAGGGTAAAATATTTAGAAATCCGAATAATATAACTTTATTATTTAGTAATATATATTATTAAATCATGTAACATTATTGCATGAATCGAGCAAGGCCTTCATTTTGTAATGATTTTAATCGTTGATATTCGATAACGACTGCTGGGTCTGTTTTGATAGCGTTTAGTTCAAAAGATGTAATATTTAAGGAGTCCCAAGTCGGAGCTCTACTAAACGCTACGTAAGCTTGACCATATGCAAATATTTGGTCGTCAACTGATATTGAGGCATGAGGAATTGTTAATCCTTGTGTTTTGTGTACTGTAAGTGCAAAAGCATTTTGTAGAGGAAATTGATGTCGACTTGCAGGTGTACCATTTAGAAGAAAATGTTTTGTAGTTTTTTTTACGGTTGTGGTAATAATTGTTTGTGTTGTTGGAAAAGCAACTTTTATTGTACCTTCATCTATAATATCAGTAACAACACCAATAGACCCATTACAAAGCCCGTGATCGAATAAAAGATTATCCAGATACATAACGCGTGCACCTTGTTGTAAAATTAAGGTTGAAGGTAAATTTGTTTGATGGCGGAAGGTATAATTGTTTTCGGATGGATCATATTCTTGATTATTAATGCGATCAATCGCTATTGAAATAGTAGGTTCAAGTTCTTCAGGTCCTAAAGGTAGGGATGAACAGGCTAGCTTGTTTATTTCATCGGCCATGGTGCGAAATCCAACAATATGTGTAGTATCGATTGAAAGACGTGGTAAGGGATACCTTACTTTTTCTTCAATCATTTGTAGTGTGGTAGATGATAAATTCCCAGCATGAATGTCTTCTAGTATTTGATAGAAGTTAGAATCACGGTTTTGTCTACGTGGGGTTGTTAAGAATAGCGGATAAAATTCGGACCAGACTGGAGAGTAAAACACTTGAGATCCATTAATTGGAGGTAATTGAGCAAGATCACCAATTAATAAAACTCTGATTCCGCCAAATGGTAATGCATTATTATGCAATCGTGCAAAAAGGTTACTTATAAATGTTAGTAGACCTGCAGACACCATAGAAATTTCATCGATAACAATAACATCGATTTGCGAAAGTTGTTGGCGATGTTCTTGGTCATATAATGCTAAACTTTCACAATTAGTAATCGATGGGCGAATTTTTAGTTGAGAATGAATGGTTTTGCCATCAATATTTTGAGCGGCAACTCCAGTTGGAGCCATTATCAGAAATTTTTTGCGTTGTGATCGAAGATGATTTACAATTAATTTAATCATATATGATTTGCCCGTACCCGCCGAACCGGTCAAAAAAAAATATGGATGACCACGTTCATTTGCAGCCCCCCAAGAGGATGCTAATATATTGAAAATTATATATTGGTCTGGTGGTGTTTCTAACAAAGAAAAACGAGGAACAGAAGAAGTATATTGTATCAGAGATTCTAGTTGGTTACGAAGAATTACCATAATGTTTTGAGGCATATTATTTGTTATATTGTTTATTATCTGACGATAATTGTTCAAAAATCTAAGAAATTGTATATTTGAAGATTGACGGACGTATTGTATAGATATGGCATATTGTTCAGGAAATTTTGCTTGATAGTGAGATCGATAGTCTGGATATCGATCAAGTAATTCTTGCTCATTCCTCCAAGGCAATTGAAGCAATAATTGTTGGTAAAAATAAGGTTCACCATCATCAGCTGTTAGATGATGAAATCGTACCAAGATAGATTTTTTTCGCATTATTACATATCTTCCTTGTTGATCGACCCAATAAGTTGTACTTGAATTTGGAGGATTAGGTTGAATTCGGTAGAGTTGGTGAAAGCGTGGATACGTAATATTGTGAAAAAGTGGATCGTCGGGTCTAAAAAAGTATTTATCGATTGCATCATCCCAGTATGGATTGGAGTCACTGTCATTTAGTAAATAAATTGGTTTTACAGATTTTGTTTTTATGTTAGGAGGCAAAGATGGTAAATATTGAACAGCAATTGAAGACCGACAGATCGAATAACCAAGTAGAAGGATCGTAAGCTCAATAGATCCAAGTCTTCTAGCTAAAATATGAGATCGGTAAGCATTATGTTCCCTTAGTTCAAATAACTCGGGTCGTTCTGGTTTTGTGATGTATTTGGTCATGTATTTTGCAAAAGATTTAGAACTAACGTATTGAAAATTACAATGACCTTGCCATAGTAGTAATGTTGGAGCATGGTAAGGAACGATCCATCGGTCTTCTTCTCTTGTTCGACGATAGACGTAACGTAATGAAGAAGGGTCAAAATAGGTACAATTTGATAAAGGAGCCGGAAATTTTTTATGACATTGCTCTCCAGGAAGTGGTGGACCATTACATTTATCTGGACGACATCGATGAATTTGATGAGTGCGTACTAAGTTGTAGAGAACTGACTCAGATTGAGGATCGGGCAGGTCAGCACGAATAATGTTACGTTCTATTAAAGATGATGTTGGTAAACTAAGGTAAGCTATACCATGTGTATGTATTGTTCCTCTATTTTGAAATTCGTCTCTTTCAAAATAATGTAACCATCGACCCCATTCTGCTAAATTAGGTTTTTTCCATAATAATTTGCGAATTGAATTTAATTTATGATGGTAATGAAAATATGTATGCACAGGTCGATTTGATGGTAGAGTAGAACAATCATCGGTACGCGATAAAATTTTGGCTAAATGACTCCAACGCCCTTCAGCCATTGTCATAGTATAAAAAATTTGAGGCAAACCGAGATTTTGAACCATCGCATTGACTGAGTATTCACGTTGACGAAAGTAAGTATTTCCTGTTCTGATATATGATGGAATAGTAGTAGTTAATGTTTCACTTATGATTGGACGATTATTGTAAATACTTCGATCAATCAAATCTGCAATTGTTGGAAGTTGTTGACGATCAGTTATTTTTTGCCGTAACATTCGTTGTTTGTTCTGATGGTTTCTTAATTTTTCTAGGTTAATATAAGACCAATGTGGCCAGTACCAATGAAGTCGAAAGCGAGGGTCCGGACATAACATACGTAATTTGAAATATTTACAATATGTGTCAATTTTGTACCGATGATTTGATAGTTCTCTAGAGAATTCCCCCCAGTGACCGTGACCATTAGAAAGATATCTGGAAAAAGAATGGCTTCTAAATTCAGATCATTATATTTAATTAGAAGATCTGTGTTATCAGAATTTACTATAAACCCTGCCATTAATCTATTGTAATGATAGTCCTCATTATGGATTTCAGGGTTAAAATCATGTATTGGTACAACTAAATCAGGTTGACGATGTAAAAATATATTGTTAACTATCGGGTTTCCTTGATTATCGATTAATCTAGCAGATGGAAAAGGAGCAGGTGTAATAGTATTAAGAACGGATGTAGTTATTTGATTAAACGGGCGAAATAATGGATTATTGTTCTTTAGCCAATCAGCTGCAAACAATAAAGAATCATGAAACCAGTTGTTATTTGCCGCAGGATCTAAGACTGCACCTAATGTCCCAGAGTATAAGTATAAAGCACGAATGTTTCTTGATAAACCAAATTCACCAGTAAGATGACGGTAATGCGTAAATTGATTTGCACGCTCTGCACGGCCTAATGAACAACTCAGATGAATTGGAGAAAGCCATCGACGATAGTACATTGGGACATTAGCCAGTTCTTCTGGAATTGGAGATAATAATGGAGCAGAACGACGTTTTGCCGTAGTTTTGCATGATGCACAAACTGCGATATGAGTTGGTTTGTTAGGATGTCTTGTAAGAGACAAATGCGAAAAAGCTCTAAGAAGATCATAACATTCACTGTCATCAAATTCAACCCATTTAGCTTGGTTAGGAAACATAAGTATCGAGCAATGTGAACAGGGAACACATGGAAACATATATAAAATCTCTTTTTGAAAGCGATTATTAAGCTGATTTAGAGCTTTAGAAGGCTGCCACGGCAAAAAGAATAACGGCGCGGGGTTTAGTTGTGAAGTGGCAGATGAAAAAAGATCTTGGTCGGTAGTTAATGGCAATTCTTGGCTCAAAGAGAGATCAGTATTCATATTGCCATAGTTGCATTCGTCATCATATAAATTTTCAATTGTTGTGTAAATTATTTGACGATACATAATACGGTTAGAAATTCGTATGAAGTAAATTTTATGAAATCGTATCACTGGCAAAGTTATTAGGTATTTATATCTTATATTTGGATATTTCACAAATAGATTTGAATATTTTAAAGGCATTAATATAATACGTATTGTTTATTTGTTCATGTCAAAGTATTTATCATTATTTATAAAGGTCGAGGGTTTTACATGTGTAATTAATACATTTGTTAAAGATAATTATTTCAAAACTTATAAACCAGAAATTTGATTTGTTCATAGGGCAAAGAGCATTATAACGAATTTTGTGACATTTTATTATTACGAATAGTATTTATTTTGATGGATTCACAAACATATATTTAATAAGGAATGGAACTATTTAACCAGTTTAATTCTTAAGCATCTGTGTCGAATTTATGTTGGTTATGGGCGAGAATTACCTTAACATTAGATAAGTTAAATGGTTGACACCGTTAAACGGTTAAGAATTTAGAAGAATTTTAGGCGATTTTAATCATTTTAAGTTGAATATATTGTAAGGTATATTTTTATTTACAAGAATTCATGTAATCTATAATATACTTAAGTGTATTTTTTATATAAAATTCAAAATTTTTTATTTGAAATTAGAACTGATAAATTGTTTAAAAATCGATCTAAAGTCACGGGCAGAATTATATTGGTTATAGGCTGGAATTATTTCAATGTTGGTGGAATTAGTCGGTTAACAAGTTAAAATTAGAAAAATTTAGGTAGTCTAATTTTTATGAGCAAAAATTTATTTTTTCTTTTTTGAATTATTGCTCATGCTTCCTTTGTTAGTTCTTCTTTTTCTCTTTTTATTCATTTGTTTTTCTTGTTCTTCAACTTTTTCTTGTTCATCTTCTTGTCCGCTGCTATTATCATTATTTTCCTCATTACTCTCAATTTCAACCCAATTTTCAACACTTTCAAGACCTAGATTAAGAGAATCTAGTGCCAAATCCGATAATTTTTTTTTTCCTTTTCCACTAGAGGTGATTTCGGTATTAGCATCAAAAGAATTTAGCTTTTGTGATGTTACAGGTAAGGGCGGGCACATGGCTTGGCTTGTAGAAGTATGCGTCGACCTTCGACGTTTATTAGGAGTTTGTGAGGTGGATCTGAACTCATCAGCTATTGAAGTAATATCCGAATGAGATTTTGAAGTAGTTGATAGTGGAGTTTCAGGTATATTATTGTATTTAAAGTCAAAAGATGAGATATAGTCGATATCAGTTGCTTCTAATGCAATGATATCGGGTTTCTCAAATTTGATGAAACCAGATACTATAAACGAACGACCTATCTTAATACGATCGTGTAAATGGTTAAACCTAGTGGACTGAGTGGGATAAGAAACTATCAGTTCCATATGAGTTTCATGAGCTGTAAATGAGTTGTAAACGCGACATTCGGCTCCAAAATAGACAACATTATTACGATTTTTCGGGTTATGTTTAATTTTTATGGGGGACATGAAATGCGGAACACAAAGAGGAATTTCATCGGCTTTAAATCCATCATCAGGATCTCCAATATCAATTATAGTAGCATAAGCAACCATAATATATTCAATCCCGTCTTCAATTGTAAATTTCCCCGCAAAATATAGTAAATCACCCGGCGAGAATTGTAAATGCGATTTATCGAACGGATGAAAATATTTCCACCTGATTGTTTGAAAAACACCCGTATCTGATTGATATTTTGCTAAACCTTGTGTAAAAGATGATTTGTCATCTTTTGCAACAATAACAACAATCAAAGAAGCATGCGAAGGCATTTTGATTTAAAAATTAGCCAAACAAAAATATAACAAATGAGAATTACTTAATTGTGGTCAAATTTAAAGGATAAGTTAGAATAATACTTTTTTTACAGGCATTCGAATCTTAAATAACTTTTAATTTTATATTCTAGACTTAGGTTTTTCATATCGTGGCAATTAATGCATGTTGATACGTTGAAACGCAATAAAGGTCTTTATTTACAAGCCGAAATATAAAAACATATATCGATATATCGGGACAAATTAACAATTAAAAATATTCATTTCTCTAACAAAAATAAAGTATGATGTTGTCTTAACGATAAATAGCCACGAAAAAATTTTTCATAAATAACAACGTATCAAAATCGACAAATGTTTAATTTGTAAATTCGTGCAATTGCTATAGGTTGTTAGA